TATAGCAACGCTAGTCTTTTTATAGATTTCATCTTTAGTAACTTAGCTGAATCATAATATACTCTTTACCGCTTTAGTACTTTAATACGATATCTCGAAGACATTCCTCCCATAAGACATTTCTTAGTGATGGAGTCTGCTCGAGTACCGAAACGTGGTAGATCACTATCGATAGATGATACTTTAGATCCTTTAATTTAGCGTAAACGAGATTAAGATCGTCTTCGGCAACGAAGACTCCGGCAACGACGATAATAAGGGAGAGCTTAAGGATAGTAAGTATCTAATCAATAGTGTATTAAGTCTCTTATTAAGTAACTCTTTGAGTTTCCTAATTCTGAGCTAACCGTCTAGGCTATAGAATTACGTTTAGAAGGATATGACTTTATCCGTGACGTCGAAGATACTATACGATAACTCACTACCATTAATATTAATGAGTATTATATACTCTATACTAATACTAACTAGTTACGTTAATCTCGTTCTTCTTATAGATAATATAGTCTCTATACTATTACGCTTATCTCTTAACCGTACTAGATTAATAGCTATACTATCTTAATTACCTTTATTCCGAAGTTTAGATATAAGCTAAGGTCATAAACGAGTTTAGAATTCTCTCGCTACGTTATATCGTCGGCTATAGACTCCTTCTCTTAATTAACGATAGATTTATTATTATTTTATCTCTTCTCGCCTCTAATCTAGCGAATTATAATCGTTAAGTTATCTCTCTATTACTTCTACTATCTTTATACTATCTACTCTTCCTCGCGTACATTAATTATTTACTTAACTATCTTAATATTCTTAGAATCGTAAAGATTATAACTTATACTTATAATTTAGCGAGAGTAATAGTAGTGATAAAGAGAATAATAACGATGTTACTTAATTAGTCGTCGAGATAACTTCTCGAATTAATATTATAGATTATACTTCTTCTATGAGCGCGCTCTCTCTTAGACTAACTAGTCTTTCGACGATATCTCTAATATCTATACGTATCGCGATAAATATTTTCTCATCTATTCGCTCCTCTAGAATAGCGACGTAGAATATTCTTAATAATTTTAACGATCTAAATGATTTTAACTACTTCTTTAGCTCTAATACTTCTCTTAATCTAATTAATTTCGACGAGATAGAAGCGCGAGAATCGAAGGAGAAAGACGAAGAAGACGAAGAGAAAGAGAGTCTAGACTATAATAATAAGAATAGTGAGGAAGACGACGACGATCGAGACTAGATTTCTTTCGCGGTATAGAAGCTACTCTCTTAGTATTACTTCGACGATCACTATAGCTATATACTAGAGAAGTATACTCGACTCGAATAAGAGTATAAGGATGTCGTAGGAGATTAGGAGTATTACGACCTCTCGTTCTACTTCCTACGAGCGAACTTTTCTTTCGTATTACGGCTAGATTACGATATCGATTAACTACTTACACTAGATTAAGTCTAAGCGGATTTTACTTCTTTAGTAGTATAATAGGAAGAAACGATATATAGAACGAGTATCGACTATCTCTATCTACGTTATATTTATCTCTATACGTATACCACTCCGCTAACGAACCTTAAGATATTCTTTAATGTCGATAGTTTTCTCGATTTTACTATATTCCTCGGCTTTACTCGCGAAGAATTAAATATCGAGCTCGCGCCTTAGATTCGAAAAAATATGACGGCGGATATTTATATTACGATTACGATATATCGCGAGCCACCGATATAAGATTATCACTATAAGCTAAATTAGAAAGACTATAAGTCCGCGATTCCTCGCGTCGTCTAGACTCTTCTATACGATATCTCTTACTTCTTCGCCGCTCGGCTTTTCGGCGCTCGGAACATCGAGGTATACTTTCTCTTTCCCTATATTTCGGTCGATGACTACTTTATCGATTTAATATAGCACTAACTAAAACGATGATTTAATCGGATCTTTCTCTTAGTCCTCGAGTCGATCGCGTTCTCTTATATTTTATAATATCTTCTCGCGTCGCTTCGTTAAGCGTAGGCGAACTCCGTAGCGGCGTAGATCGAGGGTCGTTAAGCGATTATTACGAGCTATTAGAGTATTTAGACGATTCACTATACTCTTTAGTTATATCTTCTTTAGTTACTCTGAAGCGCGATTATTAATCGAATCGAGATATAGAAAGAGTTATAGAATTTCCGCGACTCTTAGATCTTCTTCTACGCTAAAGAAACTAAGCTAGTATTTAAGACTTAGAGTGACTCCGTTATTATCGTCCTCGACGCGCTTTAATAGTGAGATAGCTAAATCCGAAGAGTACTACGGTGAGAATATATCGATT